CAGTAGCCATGATCTGTTCTTCCTGCTGTTCCATACGAGTATTGCTACTTGTAAGAATGTCTCTAAGTTCCGCGACACTTGCTGGATCCATATTTGGTCAGATCGTTTCTGTCAGGGAATAAGAACTCGAAATCCAGTTGCAAGTGAAGTGCAGTTTATTTGCAACAAACAGTGAACAAAGCAAGATGAATGGTCAGATGTAAACATGCAGATGAGCAGGTCTCAGAGGCATGGAGACTGCAAGGCACTGACCCGATCCAACACAGACAGAGAAATCCAGTAACAGCTCGGTAGTATCCACAATGATAGGTAATCCGAGGCAGGAAGCAACCAGGAAACACAGACACTGGAGAGAACGACAGGCAAGGTATTTGCAAGACCCCACTGATTTTGAACTTCACAACCCAGAATCCAAAGCGGGCACCAGAAGGCACCCAGCATTGCCACAATGCAAGGCCCTTCTACAGTGAGCCACTAGCCAGCAGAGGACAGAGCAGTCACCATGGCAACCGACCCAGGTTCCAGACCAACCACTGGCAGAAGCCATGGAAAAGGCCGTCCTCACCCTGCAAACATCACGGTATGTCCAACAGCAGTCCGCCATAACATCCTCCTCCACACCCTTCACACAGGTGCCAAACAGAGACTGCACAAGGACAGCTGGACACGCCTACTTCTGAGTTACAGGAGCTGCTGACAGTAGCAAAAAAAGCTCCTTGAACAAAACCCAGCTGAGGAGTACTGGGAAGGCCAAACCTCTGACTCCTTGCCTGACACAACACAGCATCAGACTCCTCCAAAGGAGGAGCATCCCTTAAAACCAGTCGACACCCAAGAAGCAGCCAGACAGCGTTGGATGGAGCAACGGGCCCGCATGCCCAACAGCGAAACCTAGGCACTGACCCGATCCAACACAGACAGAGAAATCCAGTAACAGCTCGGTAGTATCCACAATGATAGGTAATCCGAGGCAGGAAGCAACCAGGAAACACAGACACTGGAGAGAACGACAGGCAGGAGCAACACAACGATCTGACAACATGCACAACAAACGCGAGACAGATAAAGGCAGGAGAAAACGCACTACAGGTGCAGCCACGCTGATTAGCTCATCAGCACCGTGGTTGCCGGAGCAACGCTGACAAGCAATCAGACAGGTGACAACACGCAGACACGCAGGAATGAACACACAGATCCATGAACCGTGACAGACTGGATACTGTGAACAGTCTCGCCTTGCACGGCGGCACCATTACGCTGCAAAGATGTACGCGATTATTAGACGACCGATCGTCATTTCCAAAAGGCAAATATTCCCCTTCAGAGTCAGAATCGGCGAATAACATTTGCAACGCATCCTCACGGTACAACTTTTTATTAGCCATTTGGCGATTTTCTCTCCCAAATCTCACAATTTACTCGCACGCTATATACTGAACTGCTTCCACATCAATGACACGATAGCTCACTTGCTCTGGAATACAAATGAGATATTACACCATATTAGGAACTACAGTCTATCTGATTAAGTATGACGTCTTGTCGCAATTTTGCGACTTTGGCGCTTAGAGGGTTAAACAAGCCATCATAAGAGAATTCTGAGACCCAGAGTCTGAACACGGACTGATCGCTGCCCTAGACACCAAATTTGAAACTCCCCATGTTTACTACCAAAGAAATCGACGAGCGTACGTCACACAATTTTTCATTAGATTTAACAAATCAATTATTCATTAGATTAACAATAAGTATGTAAAGAGAATCTTCCTCCGTACTCAGTTCTCTCTAAAACAGCCACATACTGCCCGCTTCAAGAGCCTTTTCCTCCGAACCCTCCATCCTATTGTAAGTCACCATTTAGGCATTATGACCTGCCACAAAATGCCTATTCGACAACTGCGTGACCTGACACAGAAGGCCTTTAACAAGCACAAGGCCCCCACCAAAGGTATTTGCAAGACCCCACTGATTTTGAACTTCACAACCCAGAATCCAAAGCGGGCACCAGAAGGCACCCAGCATTGCCACAATGCAAGTCCCTTTTACAGTAAGCCACTAGCCAGCAGAGGACAGAGCAGTCACCATGGCAACAGACCCAGGTTCCAGACCAACCACTGGGAGAAGCCAT